TTGATCTGATGATCCATAAACCTACTTATTGTTGTTCTCCATCACAAATGCCCCTTCATCAACCCACAGGAATGCAACCTGCTTCATGTGCAATGCAAAGTGAAGTCCTCACTATTCCCACATGATTCATGATCACTATATGGAGTCATGCTTTCTGCAAAAGTGGACGGACATCATGTAGAAATAGGTCAATGAAAGTGGTTTGAAGCACAGCATGAGTTTTAAGCATCAGTCATTTCCTTTCCTATGTGCTGAACTGACAGCTCGGTTCTAAGAGGGGTTAATTTGGAGTGCAGGGGTTAAACAGACAGCCACTGATAGTTTGTTTCAGCTCTGTCTCTCGCTTTTTAAAGTATTAATTGCAAAAGGTAAAAAATTTACAGTACAAGCAACAATATCAGCCTTTTTAGGTTTTTGTGATTTTATTTCTCTGAAAGAAGTAGTTCACAGTGAATCAGGCTCATGATGCAGTGAGGTGAGAGCTAATGTGGATTAAGCAGGAAAAGTATGTGTCAGTCTCAGTGGCTGGGATATGCAGCGTTTTCTCAGTGTTTCTGAACAGCTTCAAACACACGACAGGCACTGTTTCATGTTAGGTAACAGGAGAAGCAAGCAGGTCTCTTTCAACACAGCACCCTCTCCTGACAACTTGGCATTTTTAAAACCATATCTGAAAGGTCCAGATTTTAAATTCTGTGATTTTCAAAGCCAAAAAATGAACAAAATAAAGGCAAAGAGGGCAATGGCTACAAGAAGAGGGTCTTAAAACCAGGCAGATCTGTCATTATAAGTCTCTTCTGCTCCATGTTGCATAAAGGGGCCTTTCTGGTTGACTGGCTCTGTTGAGATGTCTGAACCTCACTGACCTCATACTCTCTCTCATTCTGGGACATGGCTTTGACCCCAACAGCTAGTAATCACGACAGCAGACCATTAAAGAGCCCAAAAATAATGAAGTCGCCATGAGAAAATTAAAGGTCCCATATTATGCAAAATTCATATTATAAGTATATTTTAACAGGCATGTATTGAAGCCCATGATTTAGGTTCCCAAATGAAAAGAAAAAAATCAAAAAACTTTAACCTCTAGCATTGCCTTTATCAAGCTCTTAGCTAATATGTGCTCAAAATGTTCTATTTGAAAACTACGCTCTTTATGATGTCATAAGGGGAAAATAAGTTTATCCGGAGCGGTCTGTAGCAGCCCATTGGTCAAGCTACGGCTTCCTTCTTGTGCATGATTCAAGACTCCTAGGCTACTTTTAAAAATTCCCTCTGGTTGTCGTGGTTGTGGGTTGTGGTGGCGTGGCCTTCAAGAGGACGTAGGCATGGAAAGCCAAAATAATTTGTCCAGAGGAGGACTGAATAAGGAGATTTTTGGCACATTCTGTCTGCCTAATCTGATAAGAATCTTCCTGCTCAAATGATAAAAACATTTTTTATTTTGAAATGTAGAATAATATGGGAGCTTTATTATAATCCTATATCAAAATATGAAACAAGTCCATCCCATTTAAGATCAGAATCCAAGGATGGCATAAAGGAGATATTCTGTCTGTTTCAAATCCTTACAGGGAATTATGGTTGCTGAGCCCTCTGGGATCCCTTATTTGTGTTCTACACATACCCAGTGAATTATCTGTAAAACAAAAATCAAATGTTCTAAGGAATAATGTGGTTATGAAAAGGCGGAATCATGACATTGCACATGTAGAGTGTGCACACTAATGCATTGCTGAACAACTTTTTACTCAGTGCCTGCATTCAACCATCTCTAAATATATTACTTCTAAAAAACCTGATATGGTTTGAACTGAAATTTACATGAACCAGTAAGGTTTCTGAGAAATTTGTTCATTAGCCTACTTAAGCTAAAGCCACAGTTTTCAGTTATATTTAACAGGATTAAAGCAAATGCTAAGATCAAATTTATGTATAATGGTCCAAATAAACCTGAGCACTGGGCCAGCAAGTCCTTGAAGGCTTAAACAGTTTGAAATAAGTTTTTTTTTTTTTTTTTTCGCAAAAAAAAAAAAAAAAAAGACAGCCAAATTCAATTGTTTACTGAAAAAAATATTTGCCTTTGTTTAAACCACATTACATATTTCCAAACATATTTGGTGCATTGTGGGTGTGTAGCACCTTTTGACCAAAACATATTCCCTGTGTTTGTAAAATATTACCTGACAATAAAGTTTTGTTCTGATTCTAATTTGGAGAGCTGAAACTATACCAGCATGTTTCCCCCAGCATCACCTTACATGCAAATGTGCAACCATTTAACATAATACGCACTTTATGAAAGGAAAATTTAGTTTTGAATGCCGTAGTCAGAGTTTAGAAGGAGCTGAAGAGGCTTGAGGACAGGAGATTTTCTCTAATTAAAACTTTTGCAAGGCAGAGTGAGCAAACATTAAAAACGGTCATGATCTTGGTGCTGATGACTGGCTTGATTGCTCATTTCATTCTCCTGCTTTGCTCTGATCATTTTTCCATTACCACTCATCATATTCAGCTGTTCCAGCTTCTATTTAAACTGGTTGCTCCCAGTCATCAGTGCCAGATTATTCTTGAGCCTTCAGTGAGAGTCCGTTAGCATACCTGTTGTTGTTCTGATTGCCTGATCCTGAGCAGCTCTGCCCTCGGACCTACGAGCCTCCCAATTCCTGTTTCGGATTTGTTTTCCTGACATGTCTTCGGACTCCTGCTGGTTTCTGCCTGTGGACTGAACCTGGATCTGCCTCCTGACTTCGACCTGGATTTTCCCTCAGTACCTCTTGGGATCTCCGATCTTCTGGTGTGGACTCCTGTTAACCTCTTCGACACCGGCTTGGGCTTCACCTTCTGGAAACTCCTGCCTTCCTTCGTCTGATTGGAGCTACTCGTCAGCCGGTTTTGCATTCTTCAGGCTCCAGCTCCTGGAACTCTCTGGGCGGCATTCTCTGCGTGCTATTAGCCATCCGGCTGAATTCCACTGCTTCTTTTGGGCCCAGACTGAACTCTAAAACCGGGTTAGTGACTCACGCCCCACTAATCACCCTCTTTCAGATTTAAGTGGTCACTAACCTGAGTTTTCCCTCTACAGAGATTCTGGCCTTTGATGTAAACAGCATTATCTGGAATGTCAGATGCTGAAATTTTCTTAGTCTTGTTGTTTGGTTTGCCCTCAGGGTTGACAGGGGTAGGACTTACTTTAACCAGCATTTAAATCAGAGGCGAGTCAAACTTTGTCCTCAAATTAAATCCGTCTTAATGAGTTTTAACATCCTTTTGATCATAGACTCATTTTGTTATTGTTAGTATTTGCAAATATAAATTTTGCACTCCAATTCAAAGTCCCAAAAAATCATTGCAAAAATATCTCTATTGATCATATTGTTGAAATAGCATTTCAGATAAATATGACTTTTGAAAAATAATGAACGAGGGTCAGTTCCGTAGTCGTTTATGAAAAATTATTTTAGGTTATTGATAATTGTGGTTCTTTACATTAGTCACAAATACTATTAGCAGTTCTATGTTCTAAAATTGGACAACCAATGTAAAATATTCAGTGTGGATAACTTACTTTCAAAGCTCTATGGAGGTGTTAAACTACAAACGTTCTGTAGACTATTAGCTTCACAGGCGATTACTGTAAAGAGGCTTTGACAAAGTCACTTTAGTGCCGCAGTAGAGAACAACTGGGATTATGTTTTTAAAGAGGAACACGGTGTGTTGTTGTCTCATTAAAAAATTACAGCGTTTGCTCAATCTGCTTATCCTTACTAATGTCCAACATTGGGTTGTGTGAGATTTCCTATGAAAAGTGAGCACAGACTGCTGGATTCAAAGCAGCTGATCAACACGTAGAGCAAAACCATGCAGCCCGTGGAATGTTCTGAGCTTTTGAGCATTTTTTCCCCCTGCTGCTCACAGATGAAAGTAAGCATTACTGTTTAAAATCCGATTACATCTCCATGCACACAGTGGAGTTTTACTCTACTTTTCCCTTCTCCTTAGATGACTAAACATTCCCTACCTTTATAAGTTTAACAAAACACTTACAGTAAGTCCATCTATGGGATTATAGCTCAAAATCTCAATGATTTCTTCACATATAATCAACAGTTTAGAGGCTCTGAAAGGATTGGTTAACCACAGTGAAATACCTCTGTCTCAGCCTGTCAGCTCAGGAGGGCAAACGTCCTGACCTGGTAGCTTTGGTTATTGTTGGGCTTTGAAACTCATCACTGATTGGTTCATTAAGTTTGTCAGAGGAAGATCTCCATTGTACATTTTTAGTCCTATGCAAAATGCCAGTCTTCATATTTCATAACATGAGCTGAAAGTTTGTTTTTTTATATGTAAAAACAGTTTTTTTTTTTTTTTTTTTATCACATATATAGCTGTGTGGTTAAAAAGGTGCAATAATTACTTACAGGTAACATTTGTGATTATTATCATCATAGCTTCTAATACCTCTGTTCTTATTCAAACACACACACACACATCTGTAGAGGACAAATAAAACACACAAGCAGTTGCCACTAAATAAATGAACTTACTTCAAAACAATCCAATAAAAAACAGCATAATTAAATAAAAAAAACACAAACAAACAAAATTTTCAATACATTAGTTTTTCATACACTGCTGAAAATAAAATAAAATGTGTACACTAAAAACTTTATTTACAAACAGACCGACAGACAGAGATAGGTAGATTTTTTTTAATTAAAACACTTTTTTTTAGATCTTCTGTTTCAATATGGCATGCTTGTTTTTTCTGTCTGACAGCAATAATAATAATATTAATAAGATAAAAAACCCAACGACCATAGATGACCAAAAAGGGGAAAATAGGCCAACAAACCCTTCTGCTTCATTTTTTTCTGATATTTTCTATGTATTTTGTCGTAAATAAAACTTAGACGAGTAGTTATTTTATCAGTGCTATAAACTAAATAGTGCATGCACAAATGCAACCAACAGGCGGACCTGTGCCATTCTTCAGGATGCGCTCTCCATCTCCAGACCTGAGGATATTCCTGTATCTCCTTGCCTTCCTAATTGATCCAAATTCACTTTCTCTGCTATCCCTAAAGACACAGCATGCAAAATAAGCTGCGAGAAAACACTGTGGAGTTTCTTCTCCTCTCTCTCTCTCTCTCTTGGACTAGTTAATGCCTAGTTGCTTTTCTGTCCTCACATCACACGAGTTTTGCGCCTCTGGAAGCTCGTCGGGAGCCAAACAGAACCACAGTGATGGCTCTCCCTGCAAGGATGTTATGATAGCCTATTACCATACGAGGAGATTTTTCTTTTTTTAGCGAAAACCAGCTTATCCGTTCATGCAAAGGTCGGGATGTTGGACGATAAATCCAAACTATGTGTTCCGTCTTTTTATATCGACAACCTGCTGGGGACCTCCGGCGGGGATTTGTCTGCAGGAAAGCGGGTGGAGAACCCCGGCTTCAGAGTTAGCGGCGCTGCACCCAGTTTGGTGGGCAAGGAGCTGGAAACAGGACTGTTTCCAAACGCTGGAGGTTAGGTCTCCTCTTTCACCTTTTTCACTAGATTGAAACAGCCATAAATCATCCGTTTCATTCGTTGCTCTTTCCAGGTTTATTCGTTTTTAAAGGCTTCATAGTTCAAATCAACATAATTACATTAATTTTGAGGGGAAGGACTCTATGGAAGAGAATTAGGGCCACTGAAAAACTAAAAAAAGTTAGCTGATTTTCACATTTTATTTCAGTTTAATATGGGAAAAACTTGTTGTTGACTTGTTTCTCAGAATCCTGAATCTCAGAATTCTAACTTTAATCTCAGAATTCAGACTTTTTTTTCCCCACAATCCTGACCTTAATCTGAGAATTCTTACCTTTTTTTTTTCACAATCCTGACTTTAATCCCAGAATTCTGACTTTTTTTTTTCCACAATCCTGACTTTAATCTCAGAATTCTGACTTTAATCTCAGAATCCTGACTTTAATCTCAGAATTCTGACTTTAATCTCAGAATTCTGACTTTAATCTCAGAATTCTGACTTTTTTTTTTCTACAATCCTGACTTTTTTCCCAGAATTCTGATTTTTTTTCCTCAGAATTCTTACTTTAATCTGAGAATTCTGGCTTTAATCTCCAAATTCTGACTTTAATCTCAGAATTCTGACTTTTTTCCCATATTAAACTGAAATAAAATGTAAAAATCAGTTAACTTAAAAAAATAAAATAAAATTAATCCTTAATCCTCTTCAGAGCTGTTTTATTCAATCAGTGTGGTATCCAGGGGTGAATGGCAGATGACAGCTGTTTTTTAAATGGGATGGGGTGGGAAATGGGGTCCAGCTGTCAGCCTAAGAGGTAAGACACCAACACCAAGTGTAAAAAAGAAACATAATTTGAGCATATTTATCATGCTGTGGTGATACAGACTGGGGTTGTTTTGCTCATTTGAGCAGGAAATAAAAAAAATCTATAGTGTTTTTATTCTTTTATTAGATTTCAAGTTAAGCATAGTAAATAATTAAATGGCTTTCTTATAATAATGATAAATTACAGTGAATGAAAATATTAACTTGTTAATTAAGTTATTAAATATTAATTAAAAACTGTCATAAGAGAAAAGTTTCTTTCCTGACATTAAAATTAAAGTTAAGCTAGTTTTCTGACATCAGTAATGTTAGAGTCACTTTCTACCACATCACTTTTCACACATGGATATTTTTTTTGTCACTGAAAATAAATACCACGTTGTTATAGTACATTTAAAAAGCCTAATATTGTCCCCCTTTTAGCTTTTAAGCCTTCATCACACACAGTTTCCATATTTTGCTTCACTTCAACTTAGAAAAAAAACTTTTAAAATGTTTGAATAAGTCTAACTCAGCAAGTTTTTAAAAATACACTTACATCACATGTCAATTGGAATTAAATCCACATCCTTTCTAAATGTATCAAAATCTGCTGAATATACAAAGTCTGCTTCAATGGCTACTGTTAAGAGTTTGTTTCATATAATAAAGGTTAAGTGTTCTGAATAAAACAGCTTACTATTGGTTTTTTCCACTGTGACAATGCAGATAATTATATCTAGGGAGAAGGAAACAGTGGAGACTGTCCAATTCAGACAACATTTGTGTTATAATAAGATAATGAAATGGCCCATCAACCCTTAAGTGTTAAGTGTTTTCAGTAATTTCTCTTTGCAGATAAACAAACCAACACTCCAATTAGCTGCTTTTATTCAGGGAAGTTGGGTACCAAAAATATTAATTATTTTTAGTTTTTGACAACACACTAGTTTAAACCACCAAGGCACTAAAATAACGCGTTTTTTTTTTTTTTTTTTTTTTACTTTTTAAAATTCAATCTTACTAGTTATGATTTTTTTTTTTATTAGTTTTTTTTTCTGTCCCTTAAAAGAAATAAATAAAAACGAATTAGTGTTAAAAACTTTAGACAAGTTCAAGTTGACCTCATTTTTTTAATCTACTTTTATAAGCTGGAAAATGAAACTTATTTTTCCATGAGAGTTTAGCTTAAGATGTGCCAATTATTGGCAACCACTGCCTCAGGGTTAAGAAGCTTAGCTTGCTAACTAGCTTTGACTTTAGCATTAGCGCTGTTTCTAAACTTGCTAAAGTTACATTCAAATTTCAGGACTTGCTCCTGTTCAAAAAAGTTCTCAGCCACAATTCCTCAGCCGCATGTGCTGGACACCTCTAAAGAAAACAGCTGCTTGTGAAAAGCAACTGCTAATGAATACAACTGCTTGCAACATCAATAAAGTTGAAGTTGTAAACAGTAAGTTCTGGTAGGATTTATTACCCAAATAAAAGTAAGATTTGCAGTGCAAATTTATCCATTATTGAAAATTTGCAAATTGAATGGCTAATATTTAAAACATTTCAAATTTCCCTTTATAATTCTCTTTATCTGCTGTGTTTTTGAACCCAAAGTTTTTTCAGGTCCACATATAATGTGAGATTGTTTTGCTGTTGTTGAAGGTTTTGTAGCAGAGCTTCATGGGCTCAGCATTTCAGATGAACAGGGGGCCCATGGACCAACAGTTCAAGGAGATTTCCAAGCTTCATCAGACTCAGCCGAGGAGAGCGATGAATCAGGGAAGAGAGACAGCAGTCTCACTAATGACAGAAAGGAAAAAACGAAGCATCCCTCCTGCAACCGAGGAGATGATATAGGTAAGATAGGTAAGTTAAAGAACACCAAGGAGGTGAATCTCTTTTTTGTTTACAAAAAAACTGTGTCTTCAACTTTCATATTGGCTACTCTGCAAAAATACACATTTAAGGAATTTTTATAAAAAATAAATAAAATATATATATTTTTTTTGCTCTCAGGTGAGGTGAAAATGCTGCGGAAGAAGAAGACCCGCACCGTGTTCAGTCGTACTCAGGTCTTCAAGCTGGAGTCCACCTTCGACCTGCAACGTTACCTAAGCAGCACTGAGCGAGCTGGGCTGGCCGCCTCGCTGCAGCTCACAGAGACGCAGGTCAAGATCTGGTTTCAAAACCGAAGGAACAAATGGAAACGTCAGATCACCACCGACATGGAAACCAGTGGCGCCCTCGCACCGTACACTTCCCACAAGGTCGTCAGAGTTCCTGTGGTGTACAGACAGAACATTGGCATGCCTGTGACTCTGACCAGCCTACCTCAGGTGTCATCACCAATTATTGGGCTCTCAGATCCCATCACCTTTCCAATGACTGGACACCACCTTACCCACCCAGTGATGTTCATGTCACAACAGATGACAGGACTAGTATGATGTATGATTGGAAATAAAGAGAAAACACTAGAAATTCAAACCAACCAATATACCGGTAGATGCCCTGAACTTTTTCACGAAACTCTGGGATTATAATTTCTTCTGGATATCTTTTTCTAATAAAGGCAACACAATCCCATCAAGGTTTTTTTTTCCCCAGCTAATATATCAAGTCTTTTCAAAGGTTAAGACCTATGAGTGAAGATCGTGTATTTCATTTTTTCACATGATAGAGGTGGCCACAAAAGTTCTATTTTTGATTATCGTTTTGCTTTTATGGCTTTTTAACAGAAATAATTTTGTTGAATTGGGAACAGTACAACTTTCAGCTGCAATGCTTGTTAATTATTTAGCTCAGACCTTAAAATGCTGGCAAACAAAGTTTCTAATGTGCCAGAAAATGTTACATTAATAAATGGTTTATGGAGTATGAACAAATAACTCAATGACACAGACTGCAAAAGCACAGTTCTCATCCAGATGTTAAGCAGTGGACTTTTCTAAGTGGACTGGAATGTTGTCTGTCTTTCACATGTAAGCTAACAGTGCTGATTTTCTTTCAGGGAGAAGTACATGGCTCTCAGCCATGGGCTCCATTTTGTTATAGGTTATCACCGGTCAAAAAGAAAAAAATCCCCACATATTTATGTTATTTATAACCCAAAATTAATTTTCTGTTCTGGTTGGAATGTCCATGTACTGTTGCTTGGGTTTCATGCTGTGTGGAGCTCTGTGCAAAATCAAACTAAACTAAGGGGACATGTTCTTACTTTATCAAGAAAATCTGGAATCTTTAAAAATCTGAAATATAAAATACATAGTCCGGTCAGACTTCAATGTGATTAATCTACAATGAACATAAATTCTTTATAAAACACTTAAAGGTATGGTTTAGGATTTTGGAAAGTTTTTCAAAAGACCAGCCCTCTCCACTTTAGAAAAAAAATGCACATGAACAACCCTGTACCCACTTCTGAGAGGGACTGCCTAATAAATGCTTGCAAGAGCGTGTACGAGCCCATTTCTCCTCGTGCAGCTCTATTTAAAAGTTGCCGTCTGCATCGCTCATACAAGCTTACTTTCCAAAAGCAGATTTGTGATTTTTCCACAATGTCAGACTCACCACCGGTAAGTGAAAAAGGGGACGAGCACATAGGACGGCCTTATGTAAACATGATTGACAATTAGGTGTACCACCTATTTTGATGATCCACCCAGAAAAACAACATCCTCCACTATACCTTTAAGCAGGGGCAGATTTAGGAAATTTGGGTCCCTAGGCAAAGACAGGCAGGGGGCCCTCTGATTTGAGAATACGGCACATCAAAACAGACCCATTATACAGATACAGAAATATTACTAGATTAGACATACATTATTTGTTCTACGTTTTGTCCCTCTGTTCTTCTCTCTTTTCTTGTTGTTTTCTTATCTATGTTTTATACTCAGCTGACTTTTCATGCTGTCTCAAATGGAATGAAAGATTTTTTCCAAGCACTAAGCACACTTAGCTGATTGCTTCTTCCTGTGTTTCCATAACACAGTCCTTCTTGTCACTGTAGACAGGCCATGATCTGTTAATCTGTTCTCCATTATTCATTAGGATTAAATAATAGCTGCATGAGTAATAACAGCAGATAAGATAAAGTAGAGCAGGAAGTCGGGTTACCAATCAACTTGCTCTGGAGAGCAGAGTTCGGTGCTTTTATATGTTGTCTACAAAGTCTCGAGTAGCAGAAAAAGTTGCTAGATTTGGCACTAGGTGCCATTTTTTAAATGAAAGTGCTAGAGGGGTCTAAATAGTCACTAAATATTATGAAAGAAGCGCTAACTTTGCAACACTGCTCTTCGCATCATTTGTTTTCAAATGGTTTGCTGCGTTCTGATGGCATTTTAGCGAAAGGATTTTTATCAAAAAACATAATTAATGTGCACAAATAAGGAATAGTTGCATTAAACATACATATAAACAGAGTTTTATGGGGCCCCCAGGAACCTGGGGCCCTAGGCAACTGCCTAGTATTGCCTAATGGTAAATCTCGCCTCCCTGCCTTTAAGCATGTACAGTATGTCCCTCCAAGTATGACGTACAACAATCACACATCCTCTAAGGGTTACTTCTAGCTGGATTATATGTCGTTTCACAAAGCATCAATCTTTTCCAACTGGTTTCTGACCAAATGAAAGGGTTCACTGTACTGCAGTGGCTTACAGTCAAGAAATCTTAATCTAACTTTGGGTTCTTTTGTGGTAAATTCATGTTATTGAACGGCTGTCTTCAAGTCAGGAGCGACTGCTTGGAACTATCATGACACTATGGACAACAGCCTTTGTAAGTATTTTCCAATTCACAAACTATTATTTTGTTGTTTTTTGTTGCACGTCACCACTGGAAATAATGTTGCACATTTTGATATCAAAGACATTAAATGCACTTTTCCAATGATGATTTCATTTATCGAAGGATTAAACTTATTCAAATCAACCAGGCTCAATCTGAGAAAAGTGTATTACTCATTTGTTAAATTGTAGATTTACAATGATGAACATTGTTGTGAACCTTTTTTTAATTCACAACCAGCAAGCCTGAGCACAGATTGAACTAAGATTACATCAACATGAAGTTGAATAAGGTATCCCCACAGAAAAGGCTTAAGCTTAAAAATGAACCCACCTGAAGCCGAAAGCCAAAGAAGGAAGCGAGAAATAGGAATTAAACACTGAACTCAGGAGATTAAAAAAAGGTGTTTGTGTGGACCGACAACTGAGTAACAAGTAGTGTGTATAAAATCCACAATAAATTCTACAGCTTCTAAAATGCAATCGAAAATAGGCTGGTAGGGTTATTCTCATAGGGCTATAAAGGAGAAGCCGCAGGGGTTGGCAGTCGGTTTCCAATTTAGTTGGCTTCACGGCTGCTTTGTCGTACCCCTAACCAACAAAGAAACTTATCTTATATACTCAAACCCGACTTTGTCAGGGGCTGAGATAGGAATGTTTAAAGGCAGACCATGTGACCCAAAGAGTCGACGCATATGAGTCATTTTAAATGATTCCTCAGGCCAATATACAACACTTTACACTATCAGTGCTATAAGCGGGGCTCCCCTCTTGAAATACCGCCTATATAAGTTGGGAGAAGATGTACTGTCGAACATATAGCTTTATGGCCACAGGCTCTTATATCGTCATGGAGATGACGCTTCTGATCTACTATTTTTCCACCGGCTCGACTACTGGTCATGGCATAGGCAATGAAAAAGTTTAAACTTTCTGAGGAGGCTAAAAGAGTCGATCTTGGTAAGTAAACGTGAAAGGAATCATGCATGAGAAAAAACAAGAGTCGATCTTGGAAAGGAGTGTGTTCGTTAAAGAAGAAGCCGAGTGCAAAACTGATTCTCTTTTCTCAACTTTATTATTAGACTAGTAAGTAAGTAAGTAAGTAAGTAAGTAAGTAAGTAAGTAAGTAAACTTTATTTGTATTGCACTTTTCACAGAAAAAGTCACAAAGTGCTTCACATGATAACATAAAAACAACACAAGTAAAAACAGATAAAATGCAATAAAAGCTATAATAAATAAGGGAATAAAACAACACGCTATGTGCTTTGGAAGGCTAGTGAAAACAGGTGTGTTTTTAGCTGCTTTTTAAAGATATCCACCGAGTCCAGAGAGCGCAGGGACAGGGGGAATTCATTCCAAAGACTACTAAGTTAACACTTTGCCGCTAGTATAGTTATATATCTATGTTAGTATTTTCCATGTTTAGTAGAAGCAAAATATGGTCAGTTAGAGGTCTAGCGCCCCTAGTGGCCAAAAATTATACATTGTGCCTCTCTAACTGTAGAGTACTCACAGAGGGGTTAAATATCCTAAAAAGCAACACTTATTTGCTCAATATGCAGAAACTCCAAAACAGATCTGGAAAAAAAAGTTTATGTGCATCTGGGAAGGTTGCCCGCCTAGCAAAATGACTCCAAGAACAGAGCAACAGCTCATCCAGGAGGCCACAAAAGAATCTAAAATTATAGTTATGTCTCTGAAGGTTTGTCTTGAGTTGGTTAAGGTTAGTGTTAAGACTACACGCTAAGAACGAGGATGGAAAGAAATGGCATTCATTGATGAGTACCAAAGGATAATTTTTTTTAAAAAAAGTTCCCCAAAAGTAACATAACCTAGCAAGTTGAATTTCAGCACTAGCACATTTGCCAGAAAACTAACCTACTACCAAAAAGTTGATGTTGAAAGAAAATGAAGATATTCTGTTGATTGAAATAAAAATAAAAAACATTTCAAAGGTGCTCACACTTTTATATAACAAAACATTTCAGAAAAAAATATATTATGGCATCCTTCACAGTGGTGCTATGCTGCTTTATGATGTGGATGACTTGCCCAAATAGATTAAACCACTTTCTACTGGAAAATCCTGACAAGAATGTTTAGCCATCAGTACTTGAGGCAAAACCTAAACTATAGGTCCCAAAAAAGGAAAACAAAAGAATAAAGAATTTTAGAGTGACATAAGTTTGACTTGTCAAAATTAAAACTGTAATTCAGTTTAGATGCTGTGGCATAACAATAACTGGCCATACAATCTTAAAAAGCTTCCACTGTATCTAGATTTTAACATTTTGCTGATAAAAATGGACTAGACATCCTGAAAAGATATTTGATGAGAGTTTTTGCCATCAAGGGCAGCATAAACAACTTAGTTAGAGTTTGGGGGCAGTTTACTTAATAAATGCAGTTTAAAATGGAGCACTGATCTTTACAATTCCTATTGTCACTATGGAAAGCAGAAACAGAGGAGAAAGAGAAAAAGAACAGAGAACACCCAAGGAGGTATTCAGGAAAATCTCCCAACATGATCTGCAAAGTCCAAATTATTGATTGCTCTGATTTGGATTAATTAATATAATTTGAGAGATTCCTGAGATAACTTTAATGCAGAGGTCATCTGTTAAATAAATTTACTTTATTGCGACTATTTATCAATCTGAATGCAATATTATTAGTCTATATAGAGTGGCCTACTGAGGCACACATTCTCCTTACATTTGTGGCAGACCTTTGTACATGTTTAGTAACATATGTCAAGAAACATGCATGCAAGCATTTGATGATGTAATAGAGCATCCATTTGGTATGAATGAGATTGTATGCAAAATAAAAAAATTATTCAAGCAATGTAGCTCAGATTTCAGGGCTATAAAGTTCTTAAAGAAATATTCAAAGAAAAAAATGAATATTATATCTCTATATTTATACAGACTGAACTATTCTTTATAATGTCTTCAGTTTGGCTTTAGAAAATCAGAACACCTTTGAATATTGATGGTGCATTTTATTGCACTAACACTGAGCTCTGAGTGAAAAAAAAGCTGAAATTTGTTTGCATTGTTGGAGAGAAAAAAAATCAAGCGCGCATAAATTTGCATCAATGAAATAGAAGTTGGAGGCTACAATATGGCGAGCAGACGTGAACGCTGATCCCGCCTCTCGTCGGCTTCCACGCAGCCACCAATCAGAGGCTGCAGATCCCGCAGCCTTCCGGGATCCCCGGCTCCTGTTCGCCCCAGTCTCCGCTGTGGAGGAGAGCGATGCGGCTCGGAGAGTCCGGAGAGGTCGGTGAGTGTGGAACCCAGCAGGAGCGCATGAGATGCCCGGGAATATGAGCAAAGAAGACGGACCGAGTCGGAGCTCATGTTTTACTTTCACCATCGACAGCATCTTAAACCTTAAGCAGCGGCAGGACTGTGCGCGTTTGGACGTTTTAAAGGACACTGAGTGTAAAAATGATTTTCAGAGATGTCAGGAAGTGTGGGACGTCCCGAGAAAGCAGCACATCGATGAGACAGGTGACTCACGTGTTTATGCTTCTAACAAACAGAAAATGTTTTATTTTTTATTTTGAGCACATGCGATAGACTAAGGGAAATCAAAAGTGCGCGTTAGGCTTAAAACAGTGTCGCCTCTATCCACAGATAATCCCGCAGCCCGTTCAGCGGATCGGGGGAAGACCAGCGCGTCACCCACCGATCCATCCTCTCCGGGTGCGCACATTGCGCACGGTCCGGAGCACCAGCCGTCTGCCGCCGACACCAAAGCCACGGTCAAGAAGAAGACCCGCACCATCTTCTCCAAGAGGCAGATCTTCCAGCTGGAGGCCACCTTCGACATGAAGCGCTACCTGAGCAGCTCAGAGAGGGCATGCCTCGCCAGCTCGCTGCAGCTCACGGAGACCCAAGTAAAGATTTGGTTCCAGAACCGCCGCAACAAGCTGAAGAGACAGCTGTCCACGGACACAGAGAGTCCGCTGGGCGCGGAGCATTTCACTGAGGGGGGGAAAAACACGCAGTTGGCGAGTTTTTACAAAGACAGCAGCCTGCTGGGCGGATGTTTGTTACCGATGCCTTTCCCCGTCGTTTATCCGACTGCGAACGCTGCGCCTTACATCTACTTCTCCAACTCTGGCAAATATTTTGGCCTGTTTGATACAGACTGATGTTTTCTTTTTTCTTGGACACTACGGGCGACAATCATCTGCGATCAGCATATTATTCTATTACTTTATTTTTTGTATTTTTTGCGGCCGCTTTGGGTATTTTTGTTGAACATACATCTCAAAAATGCATGTGCCACTTTTATTATTATTATTATTATGACTATTATTTTTATTATTATTATTATTGAATGGCGTTTAAAATCATCAGAGCAAGGATTATATCGCATCAAGTCTCTCTGATTGAATGTACCAAGTGAGAAATCAGCTTTCTTACTGCGCGGTACTTGTGTGCGTTTTTGCGCGCGCGATTCTGAACTTCTGTATTTATATAACGACTTATTGTTTAGTTTTTTTCAACGGTTTATGCTCACTTGACCTTCAATAAGACTATTAAACTGTGAACGCAGTTTTGATCATGAAAACAAAAGGTTTTGCAATTAAAAGTGGAATATATGCAATCCATACAGACACTGAACGGAAATAAAAAAAATTACTATTAAAGCTTTTTTTTGTAGTTTTTAGGTAATAAGTTGAAGGATTTTTTTAAATATAATTTTTATAATCTAAAAATGCTGTCTGCAAACTTTACTAAAAGCAAACTCCAGCCATTTTAAAGGTTTTCTGATTTACTGAAAGCCTGGTACTTTGATATAGATCTGTGCAGCCAAATATGTTACAGAGGACAGTTTATTTTACTGTTCCGAAAGAGAAGTCCGTAAATACTTCAAATAAAATGTAAAGCAAATAAAAAATAACAAATATTTCTTTATACTTATGCATGCGTTTTTACTGTGATCTGCATTTTTGAGTTTGTTCAAACTTTACCTGTCACAAGTCTATTAGAAATAAGCTCTAAGAAGCTTTTTATTTCATTAAATTATTGATTGAATACTTAAAAAAAGCAATTTTGTGGAAAATTGACATAATCTTCAAAAATCATTAACTTTTGTATACATTTAGAGATTCATATGGAGTTTTCAAAGTAAGGTAGAAAAGTGAAAAGGGTTTAACAAAGTTAGAATATTAACCAAGACAGATGTAGAATAAAAAAAAATTCTGTGATTTTATTAAATTATTTATTTGCATAAAAAACTGTGTCAGTTACTAACAACAGGTTGGAGCACTTTTTTATGGTAGATTTGGCTTTGAGTAACTTCAGCCACCTGTGTCTAAGTGCTAAAAATAAAATGATGTTATTATAATTAGTCCTCCAAATTCTGAATCTTTAACTAAGCTTTTTAATTTCCAGTAACTGATATAAATACATATTCTGATTTAATGTCTTTTTGGGGAGAGAAACAGCTAACTGTGTCACCTTTCATGATAACTCCATTAATGTTAATGCTTTTTGTTGTCTACAGGGTGTAGATTTTTATGCTGCAGCAGTAAATCTGTGCTATCTAGAGAAAAATGAAGAGCGTGGTCCTTAAGGTGGTCTAAGGCCATTTATATTCCAATTAGCTGGTATTTTATGGAGTTTAAGTGTGAGTTTGTTTATGTTGCCAATACGTGTGTGCACAAAAGGGTGCAGAAAAACAAACTCCTAATCACTGTTTCTCTGAGTTATGCATCACTAAAGAAACACCGAGGGATTGAGCGAAATGTGTGTTTAAGCAGATTCACCTCAGTGCCTCTACACAGATTTTTTTTCTCCTTTTTCTCTGATAGGGCCCGGCAAGCTGCACTTTACTCAGTGTTTCCGGGTCACTTCCCCTCTCAGCGCTGGAGCCTGTCGCTGCTTTCTCCCTGTCACAGCCATTCAAGGCCCTGTCACCATTAACCTGCTCATTCACCCACTTAGTCTGCCTGCAGATCGCTTGTTGTTTCTGCTGAATTCCAGTCTTTTACCTTTGCTAGAGCACACTCTCAACTTTTGCTAAAAGATAAGAAAATTGTTTGTCTGGTGTCAAACTGGGGCTAATTGGAGCATATGGGGGTGATTTAAAAGGTAAGAAATTGTAAAAGAAAAAACAACAAATAATTTGGTTTAACTTTTTTTTTTTTGGACAAATGTTTTGATAACCCACATGTTTCTTTAAATACTGCATTATACACAATACTACAACAGAAAAAAAGTGAACAGATTGTATAACCCGGCAAAATTGTTGACTGCTTAAAAAGAACTAAACCCACAGCCATCATTGTCTAAACCACTGACAGGGAAAGTGAATACACCCCTTAGTGAAAATGTCCAAATTGTGCCAAATTAAACATTTCCCTCCAAGGTGTGATTAGTGTTACAAGATCTTATGTATGAATGGGGAAGCAGGTGTATTAAAGTTGATATTATTGCTCTTGCCTTCTCTCATAATCACTGGGAGTCCAACATGGTACCTAATGGTGAAGAAGTATCAGCTGCCCTTGCTTCACTACACCTGATTTCCACTGATTGCTGATTAACATGCTTCTGGTGAATGGCATTCATCAGGAGGTTGAAATATGCAGGGGAACTTTTGTGGACCAACCTTTGACACCCCTACTTTACATAAAGATAGAGGAACAACTGGGAGAGGAGTACAAAGATAAGTGAGTGCTGCATACAGTAGAGCACAGTGGTGGTGGTATCATGGTTTGCAGACTTGATGAGCATTGCTGGCTATTGGAAGCTACAGCTCATTGTGGAATCCATGACTGACCATAAATATTTAGAAATACTGAAGCAGAGTTTGATCTGCTCTACTTGAAAATTGGGCAGGAGGTTAGTGTTACAAAATATTATCCCCCCCCCCCCCCCACCCACCCACCCACCCACACACACCCAAAAAAAACCTCACAAACGGTGCTGAACGGGTCAAGCAGGTGTTCAAACCAGCTACATTTTAAAACAAGGTGACGACGCAGAAGATGACTAGAGGCCATCAACCTGTGAAGTTCTTGTGAACTGCCTGCTCAAACAAGTTAAGGTTCATGCATAATATCATTTTAGAAAAAAAATGGTCATTTTCACATAAGTGTGTATTCTCTTTTGCTGACATCAGGAGAACAGGAAATTTACCCTACAAGCTGTACACTGACTGATTTACATTAAATTAAAGTGTCATCTTTTCAGTGTTGTATCCTGAAGGGATATAAAAAGATATTAAAAAAAATGAACTTACTTTGGCCCGCTACTGCATACGCTACAAGAAAAATAACTTTTCATAAACACATAAATTCGTCCAGGTCTAGTTTACAGCGTATGACCAAATGCACTTTCCCTATCATATTTTTTCAATTGACTTTATTAGAATAAAATGCACAACATATAACTTTTGTCCACTAGGGGCGCTAGACCTGTAACTGCCTGTATTTTGCTTCTACTAAACATAAAAAATATTAGCAAATATATATGACTGAATACTAGGAGCTAAGTGTTAACAGTGTAATAATAATGTTGAGAAAACAGACTCGGCTTTACATCTGGTTTCTTTCTTCAGCCTTCGCCAACGAACAAACTCCTTTCCATGATCGATTTCAAGAGGGGAGCCCCGCTTGTAGCACTGATAGTGTCAAGCACTTCACATTGATTGAGGAGTCATTTAAAATAACTCATATGCATCAACTCTAGTCACAAAGTCCGCTGAGTGTGTCTTTAAAAAAACAAACCAATCAGCATTCTACTCCAGCTAGCTTTAATTGAACAGCTGAGGTCAAATATTTTATTAATTATTTTGTTGTCTGCTTTTCATACATGTATTTATATGAAGTTTAAATGAAAAGCAACTCTAACTCTCCTAGCAGGTTCATTTATCAATTTAGGCTGGAGGTAATTTTTAATCTACAGTTTTCTCATCTTTATTGACAGCCCTATTAAAAATGTGCATATGAGACATATATTAAGTTGTTTATTTGTTTTTATCTGAACATTTTCCTAAAAGTGTCATCACCGGGCACTTGGGTGTTGGGCCTCAGTTAAAACCTGCCAGACCATCCAGAGTGTAAAAAGTGTTTTTTTTTTTTTATTGTTTAGGCTTCTCAAAGAGCATGATTTTGGTCTTCCTACTTGATTTACGTAATTTGTGGAAGGATGCGAATATTAGCTCAACTTGATATCATCTCTAACCTTGGTAAATTCTTACTCTTTGAGTACGAAACAGGGAAAAAATTGTGAACGAATCATGGCAGACTGCTTATGTTGCTGACGCTACACCCATATCAACACGCATACACACAGGTCAAACTGTGTGTAACCACGCAAGAAAAACCATGGGACATGAAAATTGGTCCTATTGTATTTATTTTTTCTCTTAAAAATGATAAAATATTAGTTTATAGTTTATCTACCATGTATTTTACATATACAATTTTTTTTAGAAGAATTGGTTTCCTTTAGAGCTAAAATTGTACTTACATATTATTTTAGTGGCGTAACCTTATAAAATGAATTATGTGAGAAAATGTCTTTGGTGCAGGAAAACTTATATTTCTATAAACCAAATCACATTAGTCACATTCATTGAAACTCTTGAATTTAATTTGAAATCTAAATTGATTCACTAGTAATAATCACCAATATGTTCATTAGAGCACAAAGACCTTCTGATTTGTAGAGGAATAAATATAATGTGGCACAAAGGCCTATTGACACTGAAAATACAAGCAAGTCAGATCCACAGCTACGGAGGCATAACTACTACTTTAAATTTGCCTCCCTTGACCCATTGATCTACTGTATTGTCAATAGTGCAATAATACCCCAAAAATATATAAAGCAATGTTTATGTTACTAATGTTTATAGTGCAGTGGTAAAGCAGGTGAAAAGAAACAAAAAAGAAAAACCTTTAAAGCTCCTCACTAAGGAACTGCAGCAAAGAGCATCCGTTTTTTTGCCAAGTATCCAAAAACAAAAAGATACTAAGGGTGTTGTGAACATCTTTAACAGAAGTGTCAATAACAATGGAATTATGAAACTGGAATTGGAAACTATAATATAATAATGTAACTCAAATTTTTAGGTAATTATAAAATCCAAGCGTCATAGAAAGAGAAAAAAAGAACCGTAATGTACACTATGTCATGTTTTAGATTTTTAGATAAAGAAATCTTCAAGACTAAATATCATTTTTGCCACAGTGGTAATATTACCAAGCTTTTCCAATTGAATTTATTGAGTTTATTGAGTATTGAGTTTTGTGAATTCTGTCATAACTCCAAGTGTTTTAAAATCTTGTGAAAACCTTTAAACTTAATTTTTTCCAGTCCAACTACTTTCTAGAATTTTTATTTTATCATGAATTTAAACCATTCAGAAATACATTCTATAACAAAATAAACTAAACTAGATGATGCAAAAAAAAGTCTAAAATTTTTTACCTTGTATTTGCTTTGCTGATCAAGAATTTTACATCTGACATTGTTACTCCTTGTATTTAAAACTTGAGGGCGCACACTGTGTACTATATCACTTCTAAATGTAGCTGGATCACCAGGCATAAGGGAAATAATTATTAATCAATAATCTAAACTTTTAAATGTGAATTTGATTATTAAACTGTCATATTCCTATATTTATATTTGAGTTGAGGGTATTAAAAAAAAGCCCCTTGATATTTTTCTTTTGATTCAGACTGGTAAAAGCTATGCTTAAAATGTCGGTGCAACAATATTTTTCATAAAGCTGTAATTATAAGTTGTTAAACTGTTGTTGTCTGCTGATAATACATATTGCAAATGTTTTGATCAAGGTTGTAATAAGGTTTGTATTTGCAAAACTATCCTAGTGTGGGTTACAGTGTGTAAGTTTGAGTGTGTGTGGACGGTTAGTGTGGATGCTGGATGG